ATATGAATGTTAAACCGCCCAAGACCTATTTTGTTCAAAATGAATTCCATCACCTTAAATACAACTGTGACACACTGACTTGCTAAACTTGCTTGAAAAAGTATCCCCAGGAACATATTATCCAATTGGGGAGTTTCTGTTCTCTTAGTTCCTGTATTTCGTGAATGCATGCTGGGAATGGACTCGTTCAACTTCAGGCTTGTCGCATCATATCCATCCTCCCTCTACGGGGCCCTTTGATTATCCGTTCCTCTCCCATCCTGGGGTCCAGGGAAGCCTCTCTCTCTTTTCCCTTTATCCGCCGGTGCCAGAAAATATGTCACTGTTTCTTCCGCTCGGCAAGTGGATGTAGTGACTGCCATTCATTATGATTCAGAGACACTTTCTTTCCTCTTTTTATACTGTAAATAGTATTTGAGGTAAAAACAAATTATTTGTTTATGCTGCTCCAATTGTATATCATGTATTATGTTATTGGTATCTTATAATGTAAATGTCCATATACTAATTCTCCACATAACATGATGTGCTGTCAAAATGGTAATAAATTTGAACGTAATTACAATGATTACCACAGGACTTATCTATTCTTTTGTTTACTTTGACTTACCCATAAATTCACATAATTAGACATAATCAGCTTCATAATCAAACATAATCACCTCAAATGACACACTAATTAGGCTCGTGTTTATCAAGCAGTTGGATTTCACTGAAGCATTTTTCCCTTTCTTGCAGTGCTCTGCGTCCTGTGGGAGAGGATACAAGTACCGCAATGTGACTTGTGTCAGTCACTTGGGCCAGCCAATCCCAGAAGAGAACTGCCTACACCTGCCCCTCCCCCAAAAGCAAAGGCGTTGCAGAGGTGGGAGGTGCCCCAAGTGGAAGACGGGAAGCTGGGGAGAGGTAAAACTCACACTTTATATATCACAATGTGTGCGTGTATATACGGACTACCATTAAAAATATTTGGGGTCCGTAAGGTTTATTTGTGTTTTAATATATTTTAAAGTGTAATTTATTCTTGTGATGACAAAGTTGAATTTTCATCAGCCATTACCACAGTCTTCAGTGTCACATGATCCTTCACAAATCATTCTAATATGCAGAAATGGCTCTAACTCTTTAATCGAAAAATTACATTTTGTACAAGAAAAATAACAACTTTTTTAAAAAAAAATAGAAAAGAAAAATTGATAATATGTAGTTTTGCTGAATTTAAGACAGATCTGGACTGATAATAATATATACCTAATTGAATAATTATACAAGATATAAAATTATACTAAATGTCATTACTAAACCCATAATGTCTGTTTAAAAACCTCCTTTTTTGTATATTAGTGCTCTGCAACATGTGGAAGTGGTTGGACAGAGAGACAAGTCCAGTGTATATCAGCAGAGGGTGAGGTTTCTGAAAAATGTCCCTCCTCCTCCAAACCCGAGGAACGGAAATCCTGCATCAGTCCTTCTTGTGAGTAACAAATTATTAGTAGTAGCAGCAGGACAATGAATTACAATGAATGTCCTTATAATTTATTTATGCCCATATAGTGGTAGAAATGAAAGGTTTGCCAAGTTGCTGTAAAGTTATATTATGGACAGTATAGTTCTACTGAGTTCACCAGTGTTACTATTACTATTATTATATGTTACTATAGTTACTGTTATAATTAACTCTGTTCTGATTTTAATTACAGTACTAAACTTTATTTAAATTAAATAACATCAGTTTTTTATTTTAATAAATATTCAAATGTTTTACAAGTCTGAGCAAGATAAAATATAAATAGCCAAACTAGTTAAAAAAAACTACAACAGGGAAAGTGTCTATAAACAATTCTAAAAAGTAGAACAAATTTAGCTGCTTCTAGTATTTAAATTTTCAGTGCTGAGAATACATCTCTGATAAGTATACTTAAATTTAGTTTGAGTGACGAATGGAGCTCAAGCGTAATTCAGGCAGACCACGGCATGCCTGCAACCTCAGCTGGCGCTCAGCTGACCGTAACTCCTCCCACTACAATCAATAAGATACATAAGTTAATCTGTACTCACACTTCCCATAGTCTGTCGCATAGACATGCGATTACCCTCCTCCATCCCCAACTCCTCCTTATGCAGATACATGATCACTAACTGCTTGCCCACGGAGGTATATCGTATATCCAGCTCATTTATTCACAGTACTGTATTACTCTACTGAAATATACAACTGTTGCATATAAAATATCTGGCAATTGCTTAGTCTTCGGAGGGTTCAAACCTCAGCGAGGTTTGCCTGTGGATAGCTCAGAATCTGAACCCTTCAGAGCATTGTCTGCTGCCAAATATAAAGTTCAGGACCTCTATAATAATCTTCAAACATAGTGGTCCTGACTGAAATGAACAACTTCAAAATCGTCCTACATCGCTGCAGAAGTACCGATCCAGTGTTTACAAAGTGAACATGCAAAGAAGGTCAACCGCCCTTTACAAAAAACAGTAAAACAACGATGTAGGATGATTTTGAAGTTGGAGGAGAAAATTAGATTGGAGTTTTTCGACATACCCTAACTGTCATGAACCGGAAAAAACAGAGTTCACGCAGAGCTAGACAAGACGAGCGTTTCAGGTTAAAAAGTATATAAATTGTAATTTTTTTTTTAGAAAATAACAGATCGTTTCGCTAGATAAGACCCTTTTTCCTCGGCTGGGATCGTTTAGAGCCCTTTGATGCTGCGTTTAAACTGCATTTGGAAGTTCAAACTCGGGGGCACCATAGAAGCCCATTATATGGAGAGAAATCCTGAAATGTTTTGCTCAGAAAACATAATTTCTTTAAGACTGAAGAAAGAAAGACACAATCATCTTGTATGACTAGGGGGTGAGTACATTATCTGTAAATTTTTGTTCTTGAAGTGAACTACTCCTTTAATCACAAACTCTGAGTTGACAGTGAAAGTTTGTATCGAGCTTTGTGAGCCCAGTGAACCTGATCTAAACCAAGCTGGCTTTATCGGGTTTTATCAACTCAAAACTTACTCTGCAACGCTGAGTTTGTTCATCTCGCTTCGTGCTACATGCCACTGATCAGACGTGATCCGTACTGTACCGTACAAACTCTTTTCCTCTCTCATTCTCAGGCCACTTCCCCACTAACTGCAGAGATGTACGGCTCCAGAAAGATGTCGTCTCTGATGGTGAACAGACGTTGAAAATTGATGGAAAACTTTTTAAAGTACGATTAATTTTTAGGTCTCATTTGAATTTCTGTTAATATGAAACATTTCCGAGAGAAATTTGGAACAAATAATGAATTCCTGATTTAAAAGAATTTCTTAGTTTAGACATTGTAAAACAAAAAAACATTTACCTCCTCTGTTGCTCAGATCTACTGTTCGGAGATGAACACTGACAGTCCTAAGGAGTATATCACGCTGATCACCGGAGAAGAAGAGAACTTCTCTGAGGTCTTCGGATACAGGTTACATTTACCCCTTTGACTTCCATTGCGAGTGTATAAATATGCATTATTGCATTATTTTGTGTGCTTTTACAAAATACACTTGTATTATGTATTTATATTATTCATTTTTCCGTCAAAGAAACAACATTTCTTTATGTTCTTTGTGTTATTGTCCAGGCTGATGGACCCCACACAGTGCCCATTCAACCTCAGCAGGAGAGAAGATTGCCAGTGTAGAAGAGACTACACAGCTGCTGGTCTTTCTACCTTCACAAGAGTTAGAATGGACCTCAGCACAATGACCATTATAAGTAAGCCTAGCTAACACACGTTGCCAGAAATTATTATTGAAAAATGTCTTGTCTCTTGTTCATTTATTCATTGCCCTTTTAATACGCCTACCTTAAATTTATAAATGTCATTTATTTATTTATTCATTCATTTATTTCTTTTTGCATAGCCACAGACTGGAAATTTGCCTTTTTCCATGAAGGGCATAGGGTTCCTTTTGCCACGGCAGGAGATTGCTATAGTGCTGCTCGCTGCCCACAGGTAGGCAGCACACCACAGGGCTTTTCACACTCGTTTCTCAAACCTGTTTACATAAAGACATCCTCATATTTCCAGTATATATTGCCGACTTTATGAAGTTTTTCCTTAGTGGAGATTTCGGGCTACAAAGGTCTCTCTTCTTCATTGCAATTTACATCTCTTTTTGACGTTTTCCCCTTAAACGTTGAAATTACTATTTAAACAACACGCAGTGTTTCCCTGACTGTTCAAAGCAGATGAATATGAGACATGCAATTGGCTGTCTGTTGCTTAGCATCTAGCCATAACATTCTAACACTGCGTCGTTTAACAGTGCATAAATGTTTCTAACCCCAGGTAACATACAGTGCTACCCCAGCTAAAGTATATTTGTGAAAAATTCCTCTATCCAGGGTTAAAACCAGGATTAATAATGACGATAATCAGGGACAGGTGCAGTGTGAAAAGCTTATTTTATTATCTTATTTTTACTCTTTCTATATAAATAAATATATGAAGGACATGTTTGTCTTTGATTAGTTTACTCATCCAGATTTTAATGTACAGATTGTATGAGGTTAAAATTCCTACTATTGCCACCTGTTGCTAGTAGGTAAAATGTTCTGACTGCTCAAACAATGTGCTCTTTTTTTCAGGGCCGGTTCAGGATCAACCTCTCAGGAACAGGATTTAAGGTGACCGAAAGCACTAGGTGGATTTCCCAAGGGAACTACGCCACAGCTGACATTCACAGGTCTCAGGTAAGTCCACCACCATGCACTGACTTAAAGAACACTAACTCGCACATTGAAATCATAAAATCATGCATTTATACTGTTCTTTGTAATACATTTTTATACCAAATTTATACAATTTCTATTTAGCCCATTATGATGTTGTAATTGCACATTTGCCTTTTAAGATAAAATTGTCTTTATTTTTTTGGTAGTATGAAAACAGCATTTTTAAGAACTTTATAAAACAAAAGATACTCTAACTAATACACACTAGAAGGCCTAATGATTAAAGAAGACTAGAAGGCCTGAGTAAATGTGTGCAAGTTCACCAGACCATGTGTTGTTTCTGGAACCTCCAACTCTGAATGAATAGTAAATTAAGTATATTGTCCATTCTTGGCTTAGAATTTGTTTTGAAGCACATGTAGTACATCATCCATCTTATTTGGTACAAGTGTCCTTTTGATGGAACACAACTGAGCAGCTGCTGTGTAGATCCAGTCCTTCTTGAAGTCAGCAGAGGGACAGTTTTTGGCAGAGATTAAACAGAATCCATTCAAAATGATCCACTGTTCTAAGTCAAGAGCTCTGGAGGACGTGCAGAGAGAGAATTTTTTATCTTTTATCTCTAGTTGAAGTCAGTTGAGGTGTGTTTTCCTGCCCTTGGGCTTTGAATTTCTCTAAATGATTTTTTTTTGTGCGTGTTTTAGCTATATTATAAAACGATTAAGCAAACTTTACATGTACTTCTTCATGTATCCACAGGATGGCAGTAGAGTTTCTGGGATATGTGGGGGTTATTGTGGAAAATGCACTCCCTCTTCCAGCCCTGGACTTCTTGTTGAAGTTTCATGATGGCAGATGTACAGACCAGCAGGAAAGTGAATGACCTGTTTCTAAATACTTATTTCTACTGTCAGACTTAATTTCTTTTAAAGGGAAATCTAAATTCTATGTGTATGATTCCTCAAGTGCCATACAGTTCACTTATGAGCCATTGGGAGTGTTGGAATACCGGTATAAGTTTTTTGGCATCTATTTTGCTGGATGTATTTATTTAGGTTATCAAAAAAAAAAAAAAAAAAAAAAAAATCTTTTTGATTTAGGATATGTTGTGAACTGGTTTTCACATGGAATTTAGTTGAAGCTTCAGGAGCTGGAAGATGGAGTGTCACAGATGTGCTGTTAAACCGTGTGGTCTGAAATGCTGTGTAAATGTTTGCTAGTGTTCACTTGTGTTTTCAGAAGCAGTTTGCTCCCAAACCAGAGGAAATCGCAGAGCGTTTAGAAGGAATGCAATTCTTGAGAGGGTTCTTGGATGAATAAGTGGTCTTTAGTGGGTTTGACCTTGTCCATTTCTGTTATAACTACAAAAATGCATGCTGTTGGTTGAACGTTTTGAATGCAGAGGCCAAGCATTCCAGGACCAGTTCTTAATTGGTTTTTAAAGTTAATCCTTCTACAGTTACTAATCGTTTAAGGATTTGTTTTAAGGAGAAGCATTGATATCTGAAAGCTCATTTTGTTTACTTTATTTTTCTTAAAGTTTCTGGTTTACTATCTGAATACTGTGCAGCATACAAATTATTGACTTAATTTCCCGTTGTAGTTTTTTTTGTATTTTTTTTTTGGGGTTTTTTTTTTTGGGTTAAAAAAAAAAAAAAAAAAAAAAAAAGACATCTCTTATAGTCACCAAAGCTGCATTTATTTAAATACAGTAAAAGTAATACTGTGAAAAGTATGAATGTATAATGTTTTCTATTTTGTTATATATTAAAATGTAATTTATTCCTGTGATGGCAAAGCTGAATTTTCACAACCATTACTCCTGTCTTTAGTGTCAGAGATCATTCTAATATGTTGTTTTGGTGCTCATGAAACATTTCTTATTATTATCAGTGTTGAAAACATTTTTTTGGTATTTTGATTAACAAAAGAACATGCTAATATTCATGCTAACAGAATTTTAGTCATCTGAATAGTTAGAATTTTCTTTCGTTTTTAAAAGTCCATCATATTTGAATATATATATA